TCTGAAGAAGGGTCGAGGCCCGAAACATCAGCTTTCCTGCTCCTCTGATGCTGCTTGGCCTGCTGTGTTCATCCAGCTCTACATCTTGTTATCTCTAATTATTTCTGAGTTGTGCATGCCATGCAGGGTAGAATAGCAAATCAGTACTGTGTCTCTACTGATGTTGATTCAGCTCCTTCACACTGTCACTCAGTAACCCCTCTCCCCCAGCACCCTGTGTTACTGATTGTATCTCTCCTGGTGTCAATCCAGCTCTCTCACACTGTCACTCAGTAACCCCTCTCCCCCAGCACCCTGTGTAACTGACTGTACGTCTCCTGATGTTAATCCAGCTCCCTCACACTCACTCAGTAACCCCTCTCCCCCAGTACCCTGTGTTACTGACTGCATCTCTCCTGATATTAATCCAGCTCCCTCACACCGTCACTCAGCAATTTCTCACACCAGTTACTCCCTCTAATGCAGAAGTTATCCTCTTATGGTGTCTGATTCAAATTTCTGTCTCGAAAAGGTTTTCAGGTGGCTGATCTTTCAACTCGCTGAGTTACTTTGCTGGATTGAATGAACCCTTTCCCCCAAGTTCAGTGTGAAGCATCTCCAGATCAGGAGGCCATTACTTGGACAGGAACCTCTGATGTTTACTGGCCTTTGCAATTCTAAGCTGGAATCCATTGCTAACTGTAAACACTGCTGAAGAGGATGTGTGGAGGTGAAATGTTTCAGTGTAAATTCACCGCCCTCCCGCTCACTTTCTGAGGCATACTCTACAGCGGAGCTACTGTTTAGTAACTCTGCCCCCCCAGTTAGTACTGAAATATGAGTTTCGCTCACACCCGCATGTCTGGGAGTGGGATCATGCTGACTTCCAGTTTTGCTCACAATGGGGAGTGTTAACAACTTCCCAGAATCACCTTGGAGTCTCTAAGAAGTCAGGATTAACCTCCAGTGTTGTATGAGGTAATATTTCTGAAAGAGTCAATACTGATTCTGCATTAAGCTCTGTCCAACTCTAACGATGTCACATAATCCTGGATGGAGATAGAGGAGCCCAGCACAAGGTCCTACTGGAGACGGACATGTCATCGCTATTACTTCACTCAATCTACTCTACTGCGTTCGCTGCTCACAATGTGGTCCCCACTGCATTGGGGAAACGAAGCGTAGGCTGCGTGACTGCTTTGTAGAACGCCTATGTTCTGCCCCGCAAAAATGAACCCGAGTTTCCAGTTGCCTGCCACTTCAACACACCACCTTGTTCCCTGGCTGACATCTCTGTCTCAGTCTTCCTGCAATGCCTCAGTGAAGCTCAGCGCAAGCTGGAAGAATAGCATCTCATTTTCTGCTTGGGAACTCTACAGCCTTCTGGACTCAATATCGAGTTCAAGAACTTTAGGGCTTGAGCTTCTCCTATGTCCTTACCCTGACGCCCACACACCATGCCTTGTTATCACATGGTCTGCTATCACACACAATCCTTTGTTAGCTACTAACAGTCCCATTTCATAGCTATTCATTCTCCCAGACTGACCTTTATCCATTCCTTTGTCTATATAGCTTTTCTTCTCTCTCTCTTTGGGCTCTATCCCCACCTATTGTTTTCTACTTATCCCCCAGCCCCTACCCTATCTTCTGCATATAAACCGACATTTTCTGAGCTACCATCAGTTTTGAGGAAGGGTCACTGGACCTGAAACATTAACCCTCCACAGATGCTGCCAGACCTGTTGAGCTTTTCCAGCAATTTCTGTTCTTGTTTCTGATTTCCAGCGTCCACGGCTCTTTCAGTTCTTATATCATCGGTAGTTCTTGAGAGTCTCTGTAATTATGCCTAACTGGCCAGTATAACGTGGTACCTGTTGCTATCGTGTAATAAACTACATCTTTACAAGAGGTTTCACTTGCTCGGACTCTACAGTGGTCTATGCTGTACCAGTGCTAGTTGCACAGGGATGAAAGCACTAACCGTTGCATGATGTGGATGGGGTGTGTGTCCTTCTGCCTGCCGCTGTGAAAAGAAGAGGAAAGAAACATTGTTCACCAGGTTCACAGAAGGATGGGCTGGATGAGGAGAAGGCAGCCAGTGCCACTATGAGTGCAAGTGAGTGAGGATGGGTAACCTTGCAGAGCAAGAACAAACATCCAGCAGCAAACATCTCCGCCTGCGCCCCCACCACTGCACGTCACACAAAGGTGTTATAGACCACACCAGACCCCCTCAAAGTATTTTAAGAAGATAGCCTCGACCCTAACTTTTTCTTATTTTTAAGGCAAATGTAAAGTGTTGTGTTCCACTTTGGTCAAACTACTGAACATTAAGTAAAACACAACTTATTTAAGCACTATGGTTAAAATACAATCAAAGAAAGAGGAATTTAGAGTAACTTAACTCTATCAGAAAACTTAACAGATGCCGTACATACTACTCATTAACTGTTCCAAGATAGTAACATCCCATAAACACGCTCCTTGGCAAAATGGAAAATTCAGAAATGTAGATTTGTCTCACAGTTAGCCCAGCAGCAGAGAGAAACCCCAGCTTCTAGCTGTAACTGAAAGGGGGAAAAGATAGCTTCTACTCCTTCAAGCCCACAACAGCAACTGCTTGATGCTAAAGAAAAAAACTAGAAAGCCTGGTCTGTGAGACCTGCCCACACCCAGCCAGGCTGCTTCTATTGTTCCAACATTTTTTTTAAAAAGCCAAGGCCTCACAAGCTGTTTACTTTCATAATTTTGATAGACCGCTCGACACTGCTGCCTTACAACCTCTCTTTTTTAAAAAAAATCAGGACAAAATAACTTCTTACATAAGATAAAGTTGCACGGTATTACAGCTAATGTATTGGCATGGATAGAGGATTGGTTGACCAGTAGAAGGCAAAGAGTAGGGGTAAATGGATGTTTTTCTGGTTGGCAGTCAGTGGCTAGTGGTGTGCCTCAGGGATCAGTGTTGGGACTGCAATTGTTTATAATTTACATAGATGATTTGGAGTTGGAGACTAAGTGTGGTGTGTCAAAATTTGCAGATGACACTAAGGTGAGTGGTAGAGCAAAGTGTGCAGAAGACACTGAAAGTCTGCAGAGGGATATATTGTCTAAGTGAGTGGGCAAAGGTCTGGCAGGTGGAGTACAATGTTGATAAGTGTGAGGTCATCCATTTTGGTAGGAATAACAGCAAAATGGACTATGTTTTAAATCGTAAAAAATTGCAGCACGCTGCTGTGCAGAGGGACTTGGGTGTCCTTGTGCATGAATCGCTGAAGGTGGGATTGCAGGTGCAGCAGGTAATTAAAAAGGCAAATGGAATTTTGTCTGTCATTGCTAGAGGGATGGAGTTTAAAAACAGGGAGGCTATGCTGCAGCTGTATAGGGTCCTGG